CTTGAACATTTGGAAGGCCATTGTCTGCGTACTTTGTGTGAACTTGTCCGGAGTGCTTTTCAAATTGTGCCGCTATTTTTTTTCTCCCTTCATTCGCATGTAAATTTTCTTATACATATATGTCGGTTGGCTTACTTCGTCCATTATAAACCGATTTTTACCCCTCTTTGTTTGAAGCATCTTTTCCCAGGTGCAACTTTGAAGATTGCGTATACAGCAGAATTTATTGGAACCATAAATTTCGCGAGTGCTCACCAGCTGCGTCCTCTCGCCGCATAAAGTGAGTAACGAATGGGAGAATACATCAAAGTTGAATTCGTACAGAGGTCATAGAAACAGGTCAGAAAGGTCAATTAGTAAATTTGGCTAATTAATCTAATTAGTGACGTAAGCAAATGCAACACTGAGGACAGTGTGGTAGGGGAACAAACGTCAAAGCACAAATGCGGGCAGGGGGAAGTGTGAATCAGGGAGCCGGCAAAGCTAGTTTCACAACAGGCTCCAATGGTTTACATAAGTCGGGTTTTTACCATCGTATACAGGCTGCCTCCAGGTAACGCAATGTACGAATTGTTCGTGCGCGAACAAGTACTCAGAGAGATGTTTTGGGGTCTACAGAATGGCCCGTATCAAATAGATGTTCAGTAATGAAAGACTGAGGAGTTCTATTCTCCTGTTTTAATAGCCAACTTGGCAAGTGCTCCTTAGCTCTGGCTGCCAATTGCCGTTGTGTTCGCCCTATGTGCTTGCATCCGCAAGTGCATGTAAATTCGTTAAGACAATGTGAAGTGGCGTACGATGGCAAGTCATCCTTCGCAATTGGAATCGGAAGGGTCTTTATCGAGTTGCAAAATATGATCTCAGCAGCAAAGTAGGTCATTTCCTTGGTGTTACGTAAGCGTCTCCTGATTGTGTTTAAGGTGTTGTCACCCTTAAATAGCAAGGATTCAAAAACGGGCTTTTTGGAACTGACTGTTACATAACCTTTTGCCGTAAAGGTTTGCCATACTTGCCAATAAACTGAGCTGGGTATCCACGCTTGAGTAGAGTTTCCTTGAGGCTGGCAATTTCTGCATGCAGTGTATCCATTGAACAGATTTTGCTTGTCCTCTGGAAGAGGGTGCAAATTAAGTTACGTTTCCATTGTATGGGAACAAAACTTAGATAATGCAAGTACTGCCCTTTCCATGTATTCTTATGGAAAACTCCTCTTCACTTGCTTACCTTACTAATTAGCTCAATTTACCAATTGACCTTTCTGACCTGTTTCTATGACTTCTGTACGAATTCAATGTTGATGTATTCTCCCATTCGTTACTCACTTTATGCGGCGAGAGGACGCAGCTAATGAGCACTCGTGAAATTTATGGTTCCAATAAATTCTGCTGTATACGCAACCCTCTTTCCTTATTTGAACTAGAATGAGGTTATTAGTGCCCGAGGTCAAGACGCTAGCGCCGTTTTGAGAGCAGTCCAGTTTAGCCTATATTTGACGACCTTTCTGAGGACGTTTGTTCACGATTTTGAAAATTGCAGTTGTTAGCGACTATGGATTACTTTTTATTTCCCGGTATTGTGAGTTGCTGCACCTAAGTTTATTCCTTTTGAATGGAGGACATTTTTTGCTGAACATTTTAGAATAATATTTTCAAAATGAAGCGTATCTCTCTCTTGCCCAGGGTCAACTGAACCGAGAAAATCCCTTTCCCGCTTAACAATAGTAACAAAACGTCCCCATCAAAGTCTTCAACTTGTAGGTAATGCGGTCGGCTGCCCGACTCCAACCGGCAGAATATGCAGGTTTCTTAACACAGTGGGGAATTTTTATAGAAGGGTGACGTTATATGTTAGTTTGTTTTAGAGGGTGAACACAGAATGTAGTTTGAAACTCGTGAAAAAAGTGAGGTTGCTGATTCTAGTTCAAAGTATAAACAATGCAGTAAACTTTTTCAAACAAATTACTGAATTTTGTTATGCTTAAGGTTTGAACAAAAAAGGCTTAACGTTCTGCATAATAAACACGATGTTTTCGGGATTGACTGCTCCAGTTTGCGGAATAGGACTGGATACACACGTTTATAAAAAATGGCTGAATGAATTCATGTTGCTTGGATCGGGATTTCCGTTAGGAGAGGTTATGTATGTCCCCTCGTTTTAAAATACCTATTCTGGTTTAGTTTATTAGTTCATAGCTATATGGAGTAACCCTATATTTGTCACCTATATAGGGATATGTACAAAGTTGTATTGTGGTTTTTTATTCAATTTCCTTTATTCATTACGAATTGCTTTTTTCTTCTAATATAACTCAATTTCATTGCTCTATGTAGGCGGAAGTTTACATTTCTAACGTTTTGTTTGCACATAATTCGCTGCTTCTCCGTGGTGAAGCCTCACCCTTAAAACCTCATATCACCATTATTCCTGTCTTACACGGTCCCGGAATTAATGTTGTTTAAAGGAGGCTTATATAGTCTACCAGTGCCGGAAATTTTCCCAGAATATTCGTTTACCAGGCAAGTGACACATCGAAAAAGGACTGCTATGGTAATTTCCAAAAGTAAAATCTCCAGTCACGTTTTCACGACTACTGTACATCTGCTTTGGACATGCACTTTCGAAAATTACTTTTGTAAAGTTACACATTGCGTCCAGTCGTTCAATTGTTTTAGGGAAAAATTGTATTCTGGGTATAACTGGTTACCAAAAAATGGATCGACTGAAGAGCCACCTTTCCTACAACAATGTTTTCTTGTTAAACTATCAGTGATCTAGCCTGTTTTGGAGAGAGAAGGGGGAAGGTGGGAGTGAGATCCGCAAACGTACAGGAAAGTTGCTAGCTCATAGCTTTCAGCCACTCTGTCCATGTTTGATCTTTAGTCTTGCGTGATTGGCGGTGCGTGTATGCGTGTGTGTGTGGGCTCGTGTTTCCGAGCCTGCACGACGAATGTCTCGCACTGTACGCGCAATGGACTTTGTACCCAGTCCGTTTCTGCTGTCGGCAGACGGCGACCCACCGCCGAGCCGATCAGTGACGAAGTTGACTGCTCGCAGCTCTCCCCGCTAACGCACAAACCCTCCCACCCAGCTACACCACTTCCACAAGCAGTAGCAACTACCGTCTCGGAGCGGACTTATGCACATGCTCTCGTGCGTGTGCGGTCTTTTGCATACTCCTGTTCCCTCCTGCCCCTTACCTCACCGCCGTACTAGACCACTGTATGTGTGTGACCATCGACTGTCTGGGCAAGGCCTTACCTTTTGCCATATTTACGTGTAGTCCTTGTTAAACGGTGGCCAGCCACTGACCACTTTTATCGCCACGAGTGGCGAGACCCATAGTGATTCCAAGGAGAGCACGATGATGACGCCGATGATTTGAGCTGGACTTTATTTATGACCAGGCTGGCTTGTGAGACATTTAATGTATTATTTCAGTGACATGGTAAATTTAGGAGGACTGGAAGTGAGCACAGGTCAAATGCCTGGCAAGGCTAAATAGAACATCTATGCGTGCCGCACATGACCTGCCCCCTAAAGCTGCACGTGCGGCAGTTAGTTCAGACGGAAGATTCGGATCTTGTGCAGATAAATACTATAAGGGCCACACCGATGAGGGACCCTGATCTTAAATTCTAGGGGGAAATTATAATTTGGGATTAGGTTTACAGCTAAGGTTTGGGTTACTGTTAGGGCTAGGATGCGGGACTGCTGAACCTTCCTGAAGTTCGACGCAACACCACCTGTATTACTCAGGGGGGGAGGGGGCATTCCTATTCCCGTGCTATTATCAATGAGAAGGGCTAATGAATATTTCAGACCCAGTCAGACTCTATCGTAAACATTTCAAGCCGCCTCCAATAGCGCGTTGGCTTCTGTGCCTCGAGAGACTAAACGCTAGATACGAAAGTCTTCCTGCTCACTACCAGACACACTGACTGGTGATACGCTTTTGTACAGCGATTACTGTGGCTTGTAGTCTCAGTCTACTGCCTGTTGCACACAAAACCCGAATATCTATAACCTGTCCCCCAAGCAATGATGATATTTTTCGAGTACGGGGAGCAAACAACTGTGTGTAGGTGTGCCGTGGTAAATTCCCTACGCCGTTTAAAGTGTTCTCCAGGGCAAAATTTGTTATTTACTTAAGGGATGCACTCTGTGGAAGTATAGTATTGAAAGCTTGCCGCTTTTACTACTATTATTACTACAGATACTATCGATACTGCTACAACTATTACTACTGCTATTACTATCACTTCTGCTACTACTATTACTCCTGCTAATACAAATAATTCTATCATTTATGCTACTACTACTACTATCGGTATTACTACTACTATTACTTCGACTTGTACTATTATTACTTCTATTACTATCACGTCTACTACTATTATTACTACTACTACTATTATTATTGCTACGACTGCTATTATTATTACTTCGACTGCGACTAGTATTACTACTATCACTTCTAATACTACTAGTATTACTACTGCTACTGCTATAACTCACGCTTCTACTACTACTGCTGCTATCAGTATTAATACTGCTCTTACTATTATTTCGACTGCTACTATTATTGCTACTGGTATCACTTCCACTACTAATATTTCCACTGCTAATACTATTACTCCTGCTAATACTAATACTTTTACTATTATTTCTCTTACTATTACTGTTGCTATCATTATTACTATTACTTCGACTAGTACTGTTATTAATTCTGTTACTTTCACGCCTACTACTATTATTACTACGACAAATATTATTATTGCTACCAATATTACGACTGCTATTATTATTACTTCGACTGCTACTAGTATTACTCCTGCTACTGCTGGTATTATTAATACGGTATCCTCTTCGGTGCTACCGACTGAAAGCACAGGAATGTCTGCGAGTAGCGGGGAAAGAAGATAGAGCTGGACAAGAGTGGTTTCTGCCTGCTCTTCTTCTCCCTTCCCAACAACCGCCGTAGGGAAGGGAACAGCCAGCTAATGAGACTCATTGTGAATTTTTTGTGTGCAGTCCCTCCTGCCATACTAGCTCTCTCTCTCACCCCCTCCCTCCCGTCTTGTGTTCGGTCTTGCAGAACGCCTCCCTCCGGTGCCGGGGTGCAGTCGGAGGGAGCAGGCTTGGACGAGGTGAAACAGAATCTTCGTCTGGTTGCAACCGCTTTGGACGCTCACCCCGACGCAGAGGCGGCGTCCGTCGGCAAAGCCGGGACGGAATCCTCGGGGTCGCTGCTGCCGCAGCAAAATTCGAAACCCAGTCGTCCGCACGGCGTGCGCAAGTTCATCTCCCGACCGACTCTCCGTCCGCACTAAATTACCCCTGGGACTGGGGGTTGGGGCTGTTGCCGCGCAACCGTCACCTCATTCAAAATGACGCTCAACCTGTCCATCGCCCCTCTCCTCCCCCTCGCCCCCTCCAAACTGTCCACCGCTCCTCTTCCTCCCCCTCCTCACTCCGTTTGCACAGGCTTCCATTATGTCCTCTGTCTCAAATTGCCTCATTTTACGATGTATCTTTCTCTAATTATCTTGCTGTGCCCACACCCCTTCTCTTGCTTTGAAATATTTTATCAGAGTACAACTGCTCTACTTTTCTCCGTCTCCTGGGTTTTGGCAAAGCTAGGGGGAAGTTGCTTTACTGGCTGATTTTTTGTTGTTGTTCTGGCGTCTTTAAAAATTAATCTCTAGGTTTGGTCGAGACGCGTCCGGTTCCAATTAAGAACTCGAAGATTGCGCCAGTTTTCATTAAGTATTCAATAGGTTGTTTTGAGGTACATTGCCTGATGAACATAGGTAATCCGCTGTAGTCTAGGTACTGTTTCTCTACTTTCAGAAGACAGCCCAGATCAAGTCATATCTTATCTATGGACGCATATGCTTAAATTTACGTCGCTGTTTCATAGGTTTCGGCACCTACAGCTTAGTTTGAGAAGAAGCTTTGTCAAACACCGGAATCATGGTTTTATTGGTCTGAACCTTCGGGCTCCTACAGGAGTCACCGTCAGAGATGGGAAACGGCAACAAATGGGA